GAAGGAAGGAAGGAAGGAAGGAAGGAAGGAAGGAAGGAAGGAAGGTCGGTCTTAGAGTGACCGAGGTAAGTAAACAACTTTTTTCTTCCTAGAAATGGCTACTAAAAACTTGAGCAGCATAGAATCCATTCTACTACATGGACAGCATGTATTCTGAATTTGCCATAAACATCAAGCCCAGTGTGCTTTCATCAATATCAGTGACAAGTTAGGTTTAATCAGTTTAATCACTGTTTCCAATCACTGTATATTGGTAAAAAGGGTACTAGTTATTGAATGTGTGCCAATAACTAACATGCAGGAAAGAAAATAAGGCTTTCTGAAGTAAGTGTATTGCACGCATAAATTGTTAGCAAGGATTACCAAACATGTAGGACTTTTGGGCTGTCTGGGAATCACGCCCAACTTGATGTCCTGGGGTGACTCCCAGCAGTGTTCTGGGAATCAAACCTGGGGCTCCCAAATGTGCTCCAGACCTTCAAATGTTCTCTGCAGCCCACATGGAGTCTTTTTTTTCAGAACAGCAATTCTGAGAACAGGCGAGGTAGTACAGAGGGAACGGTGCTTGCATTGCAAGCAGCTAACCCCAGTTCAATCCCCAGCACTGTAAGGTCACTGCCAAGGTGACTCGAGCACGGAACCAGGAATAGCCCCTGAGCACTGACAAGTCTGGTCCTCCCCCAAGCCATACAGGAGTAAAACACTTGCCTTACATGCAGCCAACACCAGTCTGACCCCCATATGGTACCTAAACCACCACTGGCAGTAGCCCTCAGACGCCCCAAAATATAAAAACTATAGAAAGAGAACTGATATTTTTCATACAGAGTAACAAAAACAGATTTGCTATTAAAATACTGTAACTAATGGCCAGAGCTTGAGTGCAGCAGGCGGGACCCTTCCTGGCACACGGCAGGCCCACATTCCATCCCCAGCAGCAGAGCTTATCCAGAGGGACCCCCTGGGCACACTACTGCAGATGGCACAAAAACCAAAGACAAGTAAATGAAATACTCAGTGCACTTCAGAATGGTTTAGGAAACAATGGGAGCAGGAGCAGTATACAGCAGAATAGGTTAATGGCTGGCCTTGTTAGCGGCCAATCCAGGTCCACCACATACAATTCTCAAGCCACACCAGGAGGGATCCTTGAGCCCAGAGTCAGGAATAAGTCCTGATGTGCTGACGTAAAAACAAAAGAGAAAAGAAAAAAAAGACACTGAAAATGAATAGTGACAAGAAAAGCTGTTGACACCTAACAGTAAAGAAGTATGGGAAAAAAATGTGTAGACTATGAAACTAACTATAAAAGGAACAAAATGAATAAGATTAACTATAAAATGAACAAAACAAAAAGTACAACACACATGGTCGTAATGCAATATTTCATATGAAAAGAGATATACCAGACCCACTTTATAAGCTAAAGATAATAATCTTGATTCAAAATTTCTTCTTTTCCATCAATAAGGACAAGAGCATCAACCAAACTTAAAATCCGAGAAACATAAATAAGTCCTCACAATGCACCAATAGTTTCAGTCTCTAAGTCTACTCATTCCCCCTGTGCCTAACCTCTTCCCAGATCTTGGTCTTCCCTAATATTTGGTCTTGCATATTCACTGCCAAGAGCATACCCACAGACCTCACGGCTAAACTACTCAGGAGCTCATTCATTCATTCCTGCACTTACTCACTGAAATTCTGTGCTAATTTTAAACACAAACCAGATTTCAAACAGAAGACAGAGGTTAAAATCAACTACTATTTTAACAACAAAGAGCGACTATGCAATAACTAGTAGATGCTACTCGTACACATTATTATCCCACTCAAAGCCTCATGAGACAGCAGAGAGAGAGCAAGATAGATAGATATATATGTATACATACATATACACATATATATGGGGGGGAGGGAGAGAGAGAAACAGAGAAAGTGCCTGCCATAGAGGCATGCAGGGAGTTGGGTAGAGGGGTGGAAGGGCAACTGGGGACACTGGTGGTAGGAAATGCACACTGGTGAAGGGACAGGTGTTGAGTATTGTATGACTGGAACCCAATTATGAACAACTTATAACTGTGTATCTCACTATGATTCAATAAATAAGTAAATAAACAAATCCTGACAACAACCAAAAAAGCAGATAAGCATCCTCTGCAGTACAAAAAAAAAAAATGCTAAGACTCAAAAGTGAGAAATTTTTCCTAAGACCACATTGCGAATAAATCGCAGAGTCCTAGCCCATTTAAACTGCTTCATGAACATACTGCTAAACAACTTTTGAACTCCTAAGCAATTTTTCTAATTCAGTCTACCGAATACCACTAGATTAGTCATCTGAAAACAGCATTTCATACTTTAAAACATACTTTGGCCTTTGGTTAAAAATGTTTCTCAGGCTCTAAGAGAAAGCTATGCACTTGCCTTGCACACAGTGGGACTGCAGCTGCAGAAATAGTTTAAGTGAAGGGTCAGAACCCCACCATATGCATACAGCGCCACTCAACACATATACCGCCAGGTGACACTGAACACAGAGCCAGGAACGGTCCTTAAATACCGCTGAATGTGCCCACAACCCACCAGAAAAAATAACATTCTCAATCACTCATTTATCCATTAATCTTTGAAAAATATGGAAAAACTTAGAAGCGAATGAAAACTCATGAGTGATAAGAAGTGAAGCATTTCCTTGCTAGGTCTAAATCTTGGAAATCATTTAATCTCGCTAATCTTTAGTTTCTTATTATTTTTCTACTATGAAATGTAAGTAAGGTGGAGCTTCACTTAGAAAACAAGTTCAATTTCTGCTTCAGTTTACACTGCTCCCATGCCTAAGGGATAACAGTTGCCTTGCACCAGTCAACCCTTCTTCAATCCCTTATGGTCCCCCGAGCACCACCAGAAGTGATTCCTTACTGCAGAGCCAGGAGAAAGCCCCTGGGCATCCCAGGTGTGATCCCTCCAACCTCCGCAAAATGTACACTGTACTTTCTCCATGTGGGGCTGGAGCAACAACACCACGGGTAGGGAGTATTTGCCTTGCATACGGCCAACCCAGGTTCGATTCCTCCACTCCTCTCAGAGAGCCCAGCAAGCCACCAAGAGTATCTCGCCCACATGGCAAAGCCTGGCAAGCTACCCATTCAAAAACAGTAACAAGTTCTCACAATTTGTTGTGAGACCTTACTGGTGCCCGCTCGAGCAAACCAATGAACAATGGGAGGACAGTGCTACTTTCTTCATGTAGAATGGATATTCTGAGTCCAAGTGCTAGTGAAGGGCTTAAGGTGCATGCTAGTTTAGGAGTTGAGGTGCTTCGATTCCCAACACTTGTGACCTCCCCTCCAAGCACCACAGGGGATAATACCCGAGAACAGAAGCAGGCTCAGCCCTGAGCCTGCCAGGTATGACCCCAAATTTAAAAAAAAAAATAATGCATGGGATGAAAACTAGTCAACACACTGTTAAAATATAAATAAACCAAAACAGCCTAAGAATGTGGAAAAATAAAAAGAAATAAATATAAGGCAAAATCCTCAGCTCCAAAAAGTTTATTTTCAGCCCCTGCCTCTTCAGAGTTCAAACTGCAGGTTCAGTTCACCTGGTCCATTTACAGTGCAGCGTTTGGGCCGGAACCCCAACTGTAGCGTCACCAGGGGGCTCCTGGGGCCTGAACCCCGACTGCACCGTCACCCAGGGTGCTCCTGGGGGCCTGGACCCTGACTGTAGCGTTATCGAGGGCGTTCCTGGGGCCTGAATTCCGACTGCAGCATGACCCAGGATGCCCCTGGGGCCTGAACCCCGACTGTAGCGTCACCCAGGGTGCTCCTGGGGCCTGGACCCCAACTGTAGCATCACCCAGGGCAATCCTGGGGCCTGAATTCCAGCTGTAGCATCATCACCCAGGGCACTGCAGGAGCCTGAACCCCAACTGTAGCATCACCCAGGGTGCTCCTGGGGCCTGGACCCCGATCTAGCGTCACTCAGGGAGCTCCTGGGGCCTGAACTCTGACTCTAGCATCACCCAGGATGCTCCTGGGGCCTGAACCCCGATTGTAACATCACCCAGGACGCTCCTGGGGCCTGGACTCCAATTGTAGCATCACCCAGGACGCTCCTGGGGCCTGGACTCCAATTGTAGCATCACCCAGGGGGCCCCTGGAGCGTGAACCCCGACTGTAGTGTCACCCAGGGTGCTCCTGGGGCCTGGACCCCGACTGTAGCGTCACCCAGGGTGCTCCTGGGGCCTGGACCCCGACTGTAGCATCACCCAGGGAGCTCCTGGGGCCTGGACCCCGACTGTAGCGTCACCCAGGGCGCTCCTGGGGCCTGGACCCCGATTGTAGCATCACCCAGGGGGCCCCTGGAGCGTGAACCCCGACTGTAGTGTCACCCAGGGTGCTCCTGGGGCCTGGACCCCGACTGTAGCATCACCCAGGGAGCTCCTGGGGCCTGGACCCCGATTGTAGCGTCACCCAGGGTGCTCCTGGGGCCTGGACCCCGACTGTAGCGTCACCCAGGGAGCTCCTGGGGCCTGGACCCCGACTGTAGCGTCACCCAGGGAGCTCCTGGGGCCTGGACCCCGACTGTAGCGTCACCCAAGGCGCTCCTGGGGTCTGGACCCCGACTGCGGCGTCACCCAGGGCGCTCCTGGGGCCTGGACCCCGACTGCGGCGTCACCCAGGGCGCTCCTGGGGCCTGGACCCCGACTGTGGCGTCACCCTGGGCGCTCCTGGCGGTAGGGGATGGCGGAGCTCGCCCGTCGGTGACACCTGGCGCTTCTCGAGGCGCGCCCAGCAGTGTTCCTCCGGACAAGGACACGGTCTGCCCAGCGGGCGGGAACCCACACCGGGTCTCCAGGCAAAGGGGCCTCAGCAGGTCCAACGGGCTCGGAACACGCGCGGCCCGACCGGCCCACGGACACGCGCGGCCCGACCGGCCCACGGCGCAGCGCGGCGCCCGGCGCCCCGTCCCCGTCAGCCCCGCGGCCTCACCAGGTACAGGGGGGCGTAGATCTTCAGCGACTCCTCCAGGGCGCCCGCGGTGATCTGCAAGAAGGACACCCCGCAGGACGGGTGCCAGGTGTGGCCCACCTCGTAGCAGTTGTGCGGGATGGACTTGCTGAGGGCCGCCATGACTAGCCGCGCCGACCGCGGCGGGGGACGGGGGCAAAGGTCACGGAGCGGGCGGTTCGGCGGGCGCCTCGGATGATGCGCGGCGGCGTATGGCGGCGAGGGGCGGGGCGCGCCGGGGGCGGGGCGCGCCGGACGGGGCGGGGAGGGGCGGGGCGCGCCGCGAGGGGCGGGGCTGTGGGCGGGGCTGTGGGCGGGGCGGGACGTGCGCTCGCCCGGCGGCCTGGGAGCCCGAACGCACCCCCGGCGCGCGCCTCCCGTGCGGAGTCGCCCAGCAGCGCGAGCGCTGGCGGGGCTCGGTGTCCCCGGCCCCCCTGCACCTTCCGCCGGCGCGCCGCGGTGGGACAGAGTGATCGGATGTCGCTGCCGGGAGCTGTGCGGGACGCTGGGCCGACCGCGGCGGTGAGGGCGGCGCGCCCCGCGGGGTCGGCTCGCGCGTCCCTCCCCCGGTCTGCCCCGAGGCGGGCGCCCCTCCGGCCCCCCTCCCCCGCCCGCAGCTGCCCCCAGCACCGGCCGCTCAGGCTGTCAGAGTACAGAGGCCACTCAGGGGTAGGCGCTGCAGGGACGCAGCTCGGGATGACCCATGCCCGGAGACAGCCGAGCCGAGGACTTGGCCTTCGGACGGAGAGGTCGAGGGCACGCGGGCGCAAGTCCTGGGTGTTGGACGTAGCGTGCAGGAAACCGACAGCAAGCACGGTGCCTAACGCACGATTAAAGGCGGTCATCCCTGATTAGAGTCAGCAGTTGGTGCGACTTGGGACCTGGCTACCCCGAGTCAGGTAACACCTCGAAACTGCTAGTTTCTTCGACACTAACAACTTTGCCAAGAGTCCTTGGAATTGGAATACCTAGTCTCGGAAAGCTGGTTCTGTTTTCGCTGATTTATTCTGCAGCTGTTTACCGACCACATACCATCTTCCAGGCAGCGTTCTAGGTCTTGACCCTACTATAGACACGAAGAAGAGAATCTTCCACCCTCATCGTTGCTGGTGCCTTCTGAAACGCAGGCCGATTTGTGTCAGCTCTAAAGATCCGGCAAAAGAAGTGCACAGAGCTGGAGAAATAGAATAGGGGGTGATGCTGCTGAAGCCTCCTGGACCTGGTTCAGATCCCGGGGTCTCCAAGTCCCCTGCCTGAGTACTGCTAGAGTTCACTCCTAAGCACAGTAACAGGAACAGCCGCTGGAGGTGTCCCAAAACAGACAACAACATTTAAAAAAAGAAAAACAGAAATAGTGTAGCACTTAGCAGCTGACCCAGGGTCCATTCCAACTCCCTACATAGGATTCCTGAGCACCACGCCAGGAGCACCGCCAAGTGTGGAGAAAGAAAGGCAAGAAAGGAAGGGAGGGCAGGAAAAGAAATTTACAGGAATTAGAAGGTGGCAAGTAATCAGTTTAGAGCTACCAAAGATCACTGGAAATTGGACAAAAATTGGGAAGCAGTTTAGTAGTAGACTCTTGAAAGGAAAACCCTAGTAACAGTAAAGTGCATTTGTAGCTTCAGTTTCTACCACTCCTTTCCAATGGACCTGTTCAAAACAGTGAATGAAAATAATGCAGATCATTAAGCAACCTATCAGTGATTGAACAGGTTTTAGTATCAATTCCAATGTTTATTCCAAGAGGTGGGGGGAGAGGGGGAGTTTTCCCACACCAATAAGCAATTTTTAGTCACCTGTGTGTATATATGGGGGGACAGGAAGCAGGGATAACCAAGATCTGAGAAATGAACTCAAATCTGACAACAGGAAACTCAAATCTGACAAATTTCTGCATTGGATTTTGCAAGTAAATGGCTCAGCCTCCAAAGACTGCCATCCACTTCAAAGACCAACCTCAGGCCCAGATTGTGACCTCTTTTCTAATGAATTAGCAAAACCCACAGGTTCCAAAACCACCCCCACCTCAGGAAACCAATCAGAACAGCACACAGAACTCAGTAAACACGGAGGTCAATCCCTTTATTTCTAGCTCACTGATTTATGACATATGAAGCAACTTATGAAGAAATACATGAAATAAGGTCCCTCCCCCCACCAAACACACACACACACACACACACACACACACACACATTGCATTTTAGGCATACAAAATGCAACTTTGTGAATCATGGCTCTTTAATAAAATTTTTTAAAAATTAAAAAAAAAAAAAAAGAATGGCCCTGCTTCCTCAACTAGGAAGCGCTCTAAGGTCTCTTCTTACCAGTTGTTTTTTTTGCTGTTTGTTTGTTTGTTTGTTTTAAACTCTAGCCTTTCTCTATGTCCCAAAAAATTGAACCAGGACTGTTAATCCCGACCCATTGTCCCTGGAAAACAACCACACCAATTGATACTTTTCACAAGTCTCTTTGATTAACATAAACTCGATCACGGTATAAATGGATGTGCTATAAATAAAAGACATTCGGTTCAGGGGGCTGGAGTGATAGCACAACTGATCTGGCGTTTGCCTCGCACGCGGCCGACCCGCATTCGATTCCCAGCATCCCATATAGTTCCCTGAGCACTGCCAAGAGTGATTTCTGAGTGCAAAACCAGGAGTAACCCCTGAGCATCACCAGGTTTGACCCGAAAAGAAAAAAATATTCGGTTCACTTGTCTGCTCTTAAGCAATTTTAGAAACTAATAACAAAAGACTAACATTTTTTATTGGTTTAGAATGTAAATTTCAGAGGCACAACTTCACACCTTGACAGTATATTCATATGCCACAGCGTGTCTATGACTAAAGATCTAGTCACCAGCCCCCACTATCCAGTACATGCTGTCTCACAACTCCCCACTGTTCTGTTAAAGAGATCAAATATTGTGACAAAATATTTTCCTGGTGCTCTTATCACATGGGAAATGTCAAGGATGTTGTCATTATAGTATTTAATACTGTTGCATTGATATAGAACCTCCGACCTACCTTACCATCATACTGTAGCTAGAACAACTGGTTTTATGTTGCAGCAAACACTACAGTAACTATGATTAGTGCTAAACACTAAGATAAGAATGCTAAGAGTTTAGTACCAGGAATTTTGCTCCATGGCTTGGAGGCCAGCCACACATGCTAGGGGAAAAGGGAGCTCAGATAGAGAAGGGAGCACCAAATAAAGGGTGTTTGGAGGATCCTCCCAGGATGGGAGAAGCATGCTGAAAGTAGACTATAGACCAAACATGATTGCCACTCAATGCCTCTTTTGCAAACCACAACACCCAAAAGGAGAGAGAGAACAAAAGGGAACGCCCTGTCACAGAGGCAGGGTGAGATGGGGGGTGGGGGGTGGGAGGGATACTGGAATCCGTGGTGGTAGGAAATCGGCACTGGTGGAGGGCTGAGTATTTGATCATTATATAATTGAAACCCAAGCACAAAAATTTGTAGGTCTACAACTGTATCTCATGGTGTCTCACTAATAAAAATTTTTTAAAAAATGCTAAGGGTTCAGAGAGCCTTGAGAGTCTTCTCCACTGGGGAGATAGATAGTAAACTTTGTAGCTGCACTTTATTTATAGCTGCACTTGACAGCAGTTTTTTGAGGCTCAAGCATTCATACACTTCCCCTGCAAGCCTATTCTACTGACATGGCAAAATATATAATATGGAAAGTGTCATCACTGGACCCATATTAGAATAGGGCTAGAGAGGCCAGTGGCTGCACAAAAGCCTCTTTACTGTGTTCTTGGAGCAGGATCTCACCCTTGGCCTAGGTCAAGCCACAGCATTCTGAAAAGTCAACAAGAAAGAGAATATTCTGTTTGAAATTAACGAGAGAGAAAGGAGAGAGAGAGAGAGAGAGAGAGAGAGAGAGAGAGAGAGAGAACTTTTACCTACTTTTGACATGTGATCCCTTACACATGACAATGTTTTTTTTTCTACTCTGCCACCTGACTATTTTTACCCTGTGCTACCTTCATTAGAGCATTACCTCACCTTTATCTCATGCTTTTTTATTCCTTCTCTACTAACCCCCTTATCTCCTCCTCTGGATAAATTTTGGGCTTCTGACCTGAGCCTTTGCTCCCTAAGCTATAATTCTCAACTACTCTGAAATAACATTTTTTCCTTACCAGAAACTATCTTTTTCTCTTATTAGAGGCTGACAGTTATAATATATCAATATATATAGGTGGGTTTTTGGTTTTGGTTTTTTTTTTTTTTTTTTTTGCTTTTTGGGTCACACCTGGCGATGTACAGGAGTTACTCCTGACTGCATACTCAGAAATTACTCCTGGCAGTGCTCAGGGGACCATATGAGATGCTGGAAATCAAACCCGGGTAGGCTGCATGCAAGGTAAACACCCTATCTGTTCTGTTATCACTCCAGCGCCGCATTTTTTTGAGTTATAATATTTTTAAAGTACTTTATTTTGATGTGAATTTAGTTCTTGACACCCCACGGGAATACCAATTAAGCTTCCTTGATGATGTCATTGGATTATCCTACTACTTCAGCATCCATTTCTGTTACTTGTATATCTTTTTTAAAATAGTAACAACTAGACTGGGGTGATAGTGTATTCTACAGGGAGCAATAAAACCAAGCTCCCGAAGAGATATGCCTGGAGCCAGAGGTTCTTCGTCCTCTTACCTATTTCTTCAACACTCTTGAAGGCGTTCTAAGCTTCTCTCTTCCTCCTGCGCAACTCAGGTGCCAGGTCATTTATCATGTTGACTTCTTGACCTAGGTACACATAACTGTTGCATTCGAAGACTGTGTGGATATGGTCAATTGTGCTGAATCCTTTCCGGAACCCAGCTTGCTCACATGGTTGTCTTTCATCTAGTGTTCTACCTATTCTACTCAGGATGACTCAAGTGAACAACTCTTTTCTACTAAAAAATAAAAAATATCTAAGGGCTAATCAACAAGGTAAAGTCAAGAATTTCTTCAAAGATGTAAAATGAATGAAGAAAATTAATCTGGGAAGTTTGTGGTGGATTCAAAGGCTTTGAAGATAGGTCAAGCTGAAAATGTTTCTTTTTCTAGATTCTTGATTTGAAGATGTCAGTGAAAGGGAAAGTTTAGAGTTCTTACTATCTCATATCGAAGATTTAGCACAATAAGTTATTTAAATTTATATGTGTCATTGT